ATATTATTTACAATGACAATGATATTGTTTACAATGATAATGATATTATTAAATTCTATATGAGGTAAATAATAAATTGATTATATATTTAATACAACTTTTTTTTCTTTTTTTTTAGATGAGTTTCGATACTATACAATATTGAGAAGTAAGAAAAAAAAATTTTGTTACATATTCAGTTGAGTTGAGTTGAGATAAGTTATTTTGAGAAAAAATAAATACTATCTGTTATTATGAGTATGAGTATGAGTACTTTTGAGATGAGACGAGTTGAGTTATGAGTGTTATTAGTGTGGGTCAGAGAACTACGTTGTCTGATTCAATAGGTAGAGAAACTTTGCCATAGCGAAGCAGTGTAGTGCTAGGGAAGGCCTCTATGTGTCGTTGGTCCCTACCATTCATACAGCATACCTTCGGCCATTGCCCTACCAGTCCGGCGTGGTCCGCCTGTGGTACCTATGGCATTGACAAGGGATCTCTCCCTTGTCGCGCGCGCGCGGGTAAGCCAAAATGAGCAGAGAAAACTCGAAACGATTAGCAATGTGAATAAATTTATTGAACAAGCGAAAAGAAAAAATTACAGTTACATTTTCTTTTTTACATTGTCAATTGAGTTTGTGACCGTCATAATATTAGGATGGCTAGGTGGAAGTGATTTTTGCCAGATAGAAAGTGCCTTTTCTAAGAATGAGAGTGCTTTCGAGTAGTCTCCTTTGCCGGCATACGCCGTACCGATGTTGTTGTAAGAAGCAGCCAAATCGGGATGATTCGAAGGCAGAGCTTTTTCGAAGATTTGATGTGATTTTTCGTAAAATTCAAGTGCTTTCGAGTAGTCACCCATGTCGTTATACACTCCACCGATGTTATTGTAGGAAGTAGCCAAATCGGGATGATTCGAAGGCAGAGCTTTTTCTTTTATTTTACGTGATTTTTCGTAAAATTCAAGTGCTTTCGAGTGGTCACCCATGTTGTCATACACTGCACCGATGTTGTTGTAGGAAGTAGCCAATGAGGGATGATTCGAAGGCAGAGCTTTTTCGAGAATTTTATGTGATTTTCCGTAAAATTCAAGGGCTTTCGAGTAGTCACCCATCTTTCTATACACTAGACCGATGCAAGCGTAGGAAGTAGCCAAATCGGGATGATTCGGAGGCAGAGCTTTTTCTCTTATTTTATGTGCTTTTTCGTAAAATTCAAGTGCTTTCGAGTAGTCACCCATGTTGTTATACACTAGACCGATGTCGTTGTAGGAAGTAGCCAATGAGGGATGATTCGAAGGCAGAGCTTTTTCGTATATTTTATGTTCTTTTTCGTAAAATTCAAGTGCTTTCGAGTAGTCACCCATGTTGTTATACACTTGACCGATGTTGCCGTAGGACAGAGCTAAATCCGGGTCATCGGGAGACAAAGCTTTTTCTTTTATTTTAATTGTTTTTTTGTAGAATTCCACTGCTTTAGAGTAGTCACCCATGTACTTATATGCGAGACCAATGTTGTTGTAGGTATTAGCTAATGAAGGGTGATCTTCTGGAAGAGTTCTTCGATAAATTTCGAGAGACATTTTATAAAATGAAGCTGCTTCTGTATATTGCCCTTTGCCATTTTTCATCATTCCAAGCTGATGATAGATATATGCTTTATCACTGTCGTTGGATGTCTGTTCTAGTAGTGCCATGTACAATTCTTCAGCCTTGTCAAATTGACCAATTTTGAGCAACAATTTACCCAGTCGATACCATCCAGTGCCGTTGACTTCTTCTCGTATACGGTCAGTTAATTGACGGAGTTGCTGGTCATCATCCGACGTAAGTTTGAGGTCCACTTGGTAAAGTGGACTTTTCTTGTCCAGTTTTCGAACTTCACCAATTCGAAAGACGGTGTGCATGGAGAAGAGAATTTCCTCTTCGTCCTTGTAATAACTCACCTCCTGGATGGAGGCGAAAGGAGTTGATGACACTGTGGGATCGATGGTCATTTGAAAGAGGATGCCGACCATATCGGTTGCTCCTAATGCATCTTTGGCGAAACCGAGGGAAACATCTCGTTTTGTACTGGTGGATAAAAAGTTGTTGAAAGATATGAGACCACCTTTGTTTTTTTCGAGTTTAACGAAGTCGCTTGTCAATAATCCTTGGCCCCTATAAACTAAAAAGGACTTTCCATGATATTGACTGACCTGTTGGCTGTGTACTTCTTCGATTTGTCGATGAACATCACACAGGAAAAATCCCATTCGGATGATAATGTCACCGTCGAGTGTTCGTAATGCTCGATTGAGCATTTTGAAGGTAAAGCATTGGCGTGTATACCACCATAACGCCAATGTTGGATGATAAGTACGTTGAAATTCATCGATCAATTTCAGTTCTTTGGTATTGCCTTGGTATTGTTCTTGGCAATATGTGACCAAGTCTTTAATGGCTTTTTGGTCATGTTTCATGTCAAGGAGTATTTCCTTGAATATTTGAGTATACATGAAGGAAGGCTCTAGCTGATTGAGATTTTCGCTAGAACTTCCTTCACTAGCACTAATAATACTGATAGTCACCTGGTCTTGGTCACATTGTTTTATAGCCATTGCCAGTTTTTCACAGATGTGCTTGATTGATGTATGCACACCTTTAATTTTGGGCCAATTTTTAGCCCATTCTTGGTGACGTTGTTTGTTGCCACAAAAGATGTATATGGCA